CTGACAAGAGACCGAAAACTGAATTTCTGCAGCTCAGGGCGGGAAGAAAAGAAATCTAGCCTCGCAATTATATTGCTCAGAAGGGTGAATAAAACCTGAGATAAGCAATTTCCAAAGTTCATTATCAACACATTCCAACAGGCTGAGAATCTGCTGATGGCTTCATGATTCACTCCAGCTCACCTCCACCTACCCTACCTGGAAGGGGCAAGAATTTATGGGCAGTACAAGCTCAGCTGTTGTCTGGGTGAGGGTTTATGATCACAACACAACTTCCTTTACTGTGATCATTAACTTAAGAATACTGATTTAAAATCACATTCCTGGCCAACAGGATCTTGTCCCCTAGTAACCTAATCTTGGGCTACTAGACTGTAGCCGGACTTGTCCATCTGGCACTTCCAAGCCTACAAAGGGCTGCTCCATCCCAATTCTGAAGCCAAACTGGAAGGGAACACATGGGGTGAGCATCGGTGAGACAATGCAACAGAACCCAGCAACCTTGTCCCATCAGATGCCTGGCTGCCCATCTTGCTCCCAGACAGCCCTTGTCTTTGCCGAGCTTACACAGCTGTGTGGGGCCAGACAAAAATCACAGTTGATGGCAAGACTGTGTCATGGTCTAGGCTGCCACGAAGACAAGGTGTGTCTTATTCCCAGCACTTTCTCATGCTGACCAGGAAATGATGTCTGCAGCTCACCTCTCTCTCTCTCGAATGGGCAGGTCTGCACAGGAGCCTCCCTTACCTTTCCCTGCTCTACCCTTCTTAGAATTTCTCACCCATGCTTGACTGCAAGTATTAAAATACACCCTCCAGAGTTGGTGAATGAAACTCAAAACAGGAACACCATAAAGAAAATCAATGAAACAAAAAGTTGCTTCTTCAAAAACAGTCATTAAATTGATAAGCTCTAGCAAGACTGACAAGAATAAAAAGAGAGCAGACACAAATCCCCCACATCAGGAATGAAACCAGGGATATCACTACAGACCCTAAAGACACTAAGAGGATTTGAGAGTACCACAAACAACTTTAAGCTCATGAATTCAACAACTCAGAAGAAATGGAACAATTTCTTAAAAACCACAAGCCACCAAAACTCAACCAAGATGAAACAGACAACCTGAATGATTCTTAATAACCACAAAAGAAGCTGAACCTGTCATTAAAAATATCTTGGAAAAGGGCCCTCCCAGGCCCAGGTGGTTTCACTGGAGAATTCTATCAAACATTTAAAGAAGAATTAACAAAAACTTTATAATCTCTTCCAGAAAATAAAGAGGGAAAACTTCCCAATTCATATTATGCATATTATGCAACCCTGTTGGCTAATGCAGTGTTACCTTGATATCAAAATCAAATAAAGACATTAAAAAAAAAACCCACAAAACTACAAACCAATATTTCTTCTGAACTTAGAAAAAATTCTCGACAAAACATAAGCAAACTGACTCCAGCAAGGTCTAGAAAGAATTACACTCCCAGTGGTATTTATTCCAGGTATGCGAGGCTGCATCAACATGGGGAAATCAATCGATCTAACCCATCAGATCCAATAAAATTAGCAAGTGGCCAAACAGCACCCTTCTGCTCCCCTGACCACCGAGTTAAGACACCGCCATGGCTGAGCGGAAACGCAAGCCATCGTTCTGGCCAGCCCCCTGCTGACCCACTGCAGGTCATACCCAAACTCGTGGGTAGGACCCCTGGAGATTCACGCTCGGACGTGATTTGTGCAGAGCGGTTTACACACAGACAACATGGGACAGTATTCCTCAGTCCACCCCGACGCACACCCGAGAAGCCCAGACAGCGGCATGCAGGCCCATATGCTGCACAAGGTGTCTCAGTGCTCTGCAACCAAGTCACCTTGTAGCTTTCATACCTGAAAGCACATCAGCCCTAGTTTGGGTCAAAGAGAAAAGGTTCTGCCAAATTTCAACTTGCTCTGTGCATCAAGAAAGGAGTGAGACTGAAGCTCCCATAGTGAGTCCTTGAGTAGGGCAACACTGCTCATCTCAGCTCCTTGTGTTCTCTACGTCAAGACTGAGCCTTAGTGCTTTGGCCCACACGTGAAACCCACCCCAGAAGGAGAATGTCTTGGAAAGATAAACTCCGAAAGATCTTTGGATCTTTTGAACTTAAGAAGTATAAAAATCTTCAATTTTTAATGTAAAACCTCCCCAATTCAGCTCCTTTTTAAAGTTGCCCTTAAATGTTTTGAGGTAAACCTGGAACACCCTAAAATCTAAATTCAAGTTCAACTGGCTCTGAAATCGTGAGTCAAAAGGGTGTCGTTTAACCCCAGCCCTGACTGGGGCTCAGCACATGCATGCAGATTTGCACAGAGCAAGGTGGGGCTTGCGAGAGGTTTTCTCACCTTGCCTGACTTTCATGTCTTAAGTGGAAACAGACCACAGGCGGCACAGGTTTTCCTTCAAGAAATTCATGTGATAAAGTCAAGCCTTCTTAAACCAACCCACCTAATGGGCAGAAATACCGATCCACTATTCCCAAGGGGAGGGTGATGGGAGGTGGGCGGAGGAAGAAAAACGTGCCTTTTGTGTGTCTGCTGGGCTGCAGTGTTGAGAACTCAGAGGGAGGAACCTATGACTACTTAGGGCAGCCGGGGAAGAGTTCTCTCTGGCTCTGCTAGCCCCCGAACCTAAGGAAAGCAGGGCCCGCTGTGTGGATGTTCAGAGCCCACGCCTGCAGCTTCTCTGCCTTCAGAAGCAACGACTTTGGGAGCAGGCGCACGGCCGGTGTGCTAGTAGCCCTCCCATGTCTGGTTGGCCAACGAGCAGGCGTCTCCGAGCAGCAAGGGTAACAGCCCCTGGGGCGCCACACTGGTGACGTTACCCCCTCCGCGCTGTCCCTCTGTGAGCCCCTGCCCCACAGCTGAAACACTCCACCTGGCACTTACGTCTCAGCGGAGCTCAGGGATGCCTGCCGCTCTATTCCCACCTCACACCACCCTGCAGAGAGGGGCCTGCGGTTTCTACACCTGCCTGAATTCTGTCTGTAGATCATCTTTATTTTTAAAAGTGAGTTATCTTCTACCCATTCACCAAAGAAAATTCTTGAGGTTCTATCCACACTTTATCTTCTCATTTCTGTAGCCTCTTCTCAATTTGTCACAAACTGGATTATCCTGCTGGATTTTAGCACTCGGTACCTTACAGGGACTCCAGGCACATGAGTCCCACAGCAGCCAATGTAGAGACACATGCGGGATTCTTAGGTATGTCATCCCTGAGAACACTCCTGCCTGCCAGTAACATGAATATACTCAGTCCACCATCAGCCCCTGGACACAGGACAATCAAAAGGAGGGCGGACAAAATGAGGCAATGAGAACACCCAGAGCGGCCAAATTCAATAACCCTTCCAACCCTCCCTCCACGTCCAACCAGTAAAGGGGGACATTGGAATCCTCCACTGCTCTTCCAAACCTGGAGCTTCCACACTGCAGCTGGTTCCACTTTGTGGTCAACACAGAGAGAACTCTTTGTGTAGAACTCCCACCTAATTCCATTATACCAGAACCTCCAAGTTTTTCCCTTGAGTTGGCTCACATCATTCTGATTGGAGAAAGCAAGATCTACCTCAGGGCTTTTATCTCTTTGGGGCACTAAGATACCTCACAAACAAAAGTAAAAACTGCCTTAAAACCCCTCACAGTGTTTTACTGTCATATTGAGCTTTTCCTGTGGTCTGTTCAAGTGCTCCCCTATTCTAGACAAGTGGAAATATTTTAAACACAGTTCCACGGGGGTGCTTTCAGTTCTGTGTGTCTTTAAAATATTCTACTACTGACTGATACTCAAAAACATCCCACAATTTGAGAAAATTAAAACTACAAACTTAACAGTGGAAATCCCAGCTTGACGATATAGAAGCATTAAGTGGATTTAAGCAGTGAAGACACAGAATTGTAGCTTTATGTGATAAATGCATACAGCAGTTGGGTCAGATGATGAGTCTAACAGGGATAGGACAGAACACCAGAACCACGACCTGAGAACAACACATACATCATGCACTGGGAAGCTAAAACACAATGCCCAGAGGCCGGCCTCCTAGTTCCTGTCTCAGGCTGGGATTGGCAGACTCCCACAGGAGTTTAGCCAAGGAGTGGGCCTATTCCAGGAGCAGACAATTCAGCCTGAGCTCCATTCCCCTCTGCCTCTTGTACCTGGACAGACCCTCACTCATGCTACCATGTCTCTGCAACAGGAGAGTGGACAGACAGTGTTGTTTACCCATGCAGAAGCTGGGGAACCATTAGCAAGCAAGTGAACAGAAACCAGATGGTCTGAGCCCGAGACCCCTGGACTATTCACTGAAATCCTGGGGCCACTTGGATTGTCTATCCTGCCCAGCACTAGGTCCTTCATATACATGTATGCAACAAGGTGATCTTTAAAGTCATGTATAAAATCTTTTAATGAAAGGACAAGGCTAAGTGTGTGTGTGTGTGTGTGTGTGTATGTGTATAATGTATTTATATGTAAGATGAGCATATTGCTAACAAGTTTAAGGCTTACCCATTGTTTCCTCCTCAAGCTCTTGAAATAAACTGGGTCTCTTTAGAGGATACAAGTTTACTCAAAATATAGTTTTTCCTCCTCTTGAAAAATTATAAAACTGGGGGGAAAACCTGACACTGTGAGAAAACGCAATGTGTCACACAGAGATAATTATGTGGTAATGGTATGAAAGGGCAGGAAACAGAGAAGTCTATCATCAGGTGTGAATATCAAATAACTTACTGTAACAGAGGAATCTCTGAAACATACAATGAATTGCTACCTTACGTTTCATTTTCCTTGCCCATTGACTGAACCTGAGAGAAGAGCTTGCCCCCGGTCCCCAGAACAGAGCAAGCAGGACGGAGAGTTGACGTTCCCATCCACTACCCCCCCACCTCCACGCGGCCCCAGGACACTGCTGCCACCTTCCCCTCCAGCTGCCAGAGGCTGGAAGCAGCCCACGCACCTCCACAAGCCGCCAGGCCTCACTGATGACGGCGTACTGGAGGCGATTCAGGGCAAAGCCATCAATCTCCTTCATGACTCTGACTGGGGACTGCCCAATCTTCTGCATCAGGGCATAGGTTCTGTCCACTGTCGCAGGGGCCGTCTCCGGGTGTGGGACCAGCTCAACCAATGGCACATGATATGGTGGATTTACCTAATGAGAGACACAGAAGGGGAGAGGGTCAAAAGACAGCTCTGGAGTTGGGGTGCTGTTCTGGCAGACCCTACTTGCCTATCTCGAATGGTCAGATGGGGCAGATTTGTCTTTGGAAAGGCCTCTTTAGATTTAGCATCCAATGACAAGGAACTTGAAATATAAAGTAATCCACAAAGGAGGGAAAGAAAAAACCTGAGCACAGAATTCTGTGATTTATAGAAAAGTCAATACCAAACATATGAGGTTGAAATTTGAAGGTGCGGATGACCATCCTGTGCATTCAGAGCTAATTGCAAACCCCTGAACTCCCCGGGGGATTTCTCAGCAACCCGCTGTTTAGCCCTCATAGGCTTCTACCTACACCCAGCCAGCCTCCAGAGCCACTCCCTCCACAAGAGTCACCGCAGGCTCTTGCTATTCTACTCTGTCGCTATTAAAAATCATTGACAGCATCTTCCCAAACTTGGTATTTCCTTAACTTCTCCATGTTAAGCCTCAAATGTCTACCCCACACCCCCACATCCAATCTCACCTAGAAACCACACAGCATCAGAACTCTACCGCAGCCTTGACATCAGGACACGGCCTAAGATGGGAAGGTCGGTCCACTGTGAGTAGGCCCTAACGGAAATGTTTGCCTAGCCCAGCACTCATACTTTGGGCTCTGGTTTTCTTGGTGTACTTTGAGAAACTGTTCTTGAACATTCCCAAAGAGAATTATCCTGGGTCCAGAGAAAATGCTGCTTGGTAGAACCTGATTAGCCTCACCATGAAAAGCCAAATGCACTGCAGTAAATTGTTCCCCAAATGACACTTTTAAATAATGTTTCCTTGAGATAAGGACAAAAACTGATAGAATCTTATAGTCACTTCAAGAAGCATCCATTTTAAAATGACTTCTACAGGGGTGCCTGGGTGGCTCAGTCGTTAAGCATCGGCCTTCGGCTCAGGTCATGATCCTGGAGTCCGGGGATTGAGTCCCGCATCGGGCTCCCTGCTCAGCAGGGAGTCTGCTTCTCCCTCTGACCCTCCCCCCTCTCATGCTCTCTCTCTATATCTCATTCTGTCTCTCAAATAAATAAATAAAATCTTTAAAAAATAAAATAAAATAAAATGACTTCTACAGAGAAAGGAAAGAAAACTTTCTTTCTCCTAGGACACTGCTTAGGAGAGAGGCCTCTGGTCCACACACAGCTTAGCTTCAGAGACTCCTTCTGCTCTCGGCCTGCCCTGGTCACTCTGTCAGCCCTCTTAGAAAGCAAGAGAGGATGACACCTGTTTTCAAATAAGTAAATTATATATCAGTGCCTCAACTGAATCACTTGTCTCCTGCCTATACTGAACTCTTATAAAAATGTCTACCTCTTTTTTACTTTTACTTCCAGGCTGTGTTACAGAATTGTAAGAACTGGAAGTATGTGTATCTTTCAATGTTGCAAGCCTCATGGGTAGCAAAAACACAGATTGAGACTACAGTTAAAAAGCATTTGTAGGTACAACTTGCTAGTTTCCTAATGCAAGTATTCCTCACAGGCTCTCCTCCTGCCCACACTCTCCTTAAATGGTGGTGCTCCCAGCCTGCCACCACTAGCCTCCCTCTGTGCCCACTCTCTGGCTCTGGGCAGAGCTCAGCAGCTCCCAGGGTGTCATCCCCACCCCAAAATGCTGAGATCTCACAGGGAGCTCCCTTCCCACTCCAGGCCCGTAATTGTGCACTGGACACACCCCTAGGATAGCCAACGAGCATACACTCAACCTATCACAAATTAAACTCCCGTCTCTCCCACCCTAAAACCCTGGGTCCTCTTCCTAGCACCCCATCTTGATGAGAACACCATCACAACCCCAACACCCAAGTTCATACCATGAGCAGTATCCTTGGTGCCTGTGTCTGCCTTGCCTCCCTCACTCCCCATCAGTGATTCTGTCAGTTCTATTTACAGCTCTCAGAAAACCCATTCCTGCTACCACACGCTTCGCTCAGGCCATCACCTCCAACTTAGATTCTGGCACTCTCCTCACTGGCCTCCCTCTCCAGGCTCATTCTCTCTGCCACTGCCAAAGTGATCCTTTGTCAGGCAGGGGCCTGTCAAATCCAGAGACAGAAAGGAGAACCCAAGGCTGCCAGGGCTGGGGGCCGGGGAACAGAGAGCTGCTGCCTAATGGGGACAGAGTTTCAGTTTCAGAAGACAGAAAGTCTGAATGGATGCTGGTGAGGTCCGCACGACAGTGTGTATGTGCTTATTACTGCCACCAAACTGTGTACTTAGAAATGGTTAAGATGACAAATCTGACGTGTATTTTATCACAATTAAAATTAAAAAAAACAAAAACAACAACTAAAAACAGGATGCTGATCATACCACCTGCAGCTCAAAACCCCGCAGGATCCTGATTCCCCACCACCCACTAAAATACAACTGCATGATCCAGCCCTTTGAGCGTCCTAAAACAGGTCGAGTTTTCATATTTCTGTGTCCATGCACGCAAGTCGATAAGCTTCTGAGAAAGGACCTCCCAGAGTCAGAGGGCCTGGATGGGGTTGTTCTTGCCATGGCACCTCAGTCCTGGGACAAGGACCCTGATCTCTACTACAGGCTCAGAGATGAACAGTGACAATGACAGGTGCCCCTTAAATTTAACACAGCAGAGAGAGGAGAGGTGGGGATGAGAGAGGACAAGAGGTAAGCAAAGCAAGCGACTTTTTTAAGATTTTGTTTATTTGACAGAGAGAGAGAGCCCACAAGCAAGGGGAGGGGGAGGGGCACAGGGAGAGGGAGAAGCAGGCTGAACAGGGAGCCCGATGTGGAACTCAATCCCAGGACCCTGACATCATGACCTGAGCCGAAGGCAGCTGCTCAACAGACTGAGCCACCCAGGCGCCCCAGAAAGCAACTCTTTTAAACAGATAAGGAATGGCTATTTCCTGACTGCTATTCTGTTTCTGACACGAACGGTAGGACCTGGGCCTTCTGCTGTTGGAGTCTGTGAGTTAGACTCAGAAACATGCCTTCAAGAAGTGGGAAGAACAAACAAAGGAGGAAAGGGGGCAACTTCTTTAAAGGTTACAGGAGATGGTCCTGGGCTCAGCCGGCCAGAGAGCGGGGCGTGCTTTGCTGCAGGCACAAGAGAGGGCCTGGCCTGCGAGGCTCTTTGAGAGCTCAGGTTGAGCGGGGTGGTACAAGGGGCGCATTCTCCGTTCACCTCGTGAAAAGCCTGCCCAGAATCTGGACCAGAGCCCGGGAGGCGTGTGATCGCCGCGATAGCACAGCACGTCCAACACAGAGGCTTCGTTTATTTTCTCTGCAGCACATTAAACAGAGTTAAACTCACAGAGGAAAGGCAGACCGTCCCTTTTCCCAGAAGACAGGTGTGGCGGTTTGCAATCCATTCTCACAGCCCTGCTGGGGAGGGGGCACTCCTGACCCAGTGAACTCCTCTTCCTCTTCAGGAGAGGACGGTAAAAATGAAGGGCTGTCTTGCTTACAGCCCGCTGAGAGGAGTTAATCCCTCACTGTTTTGAGACTTTAGGTTGTAAGGCCCTTCGGTTAGTTATAAGCCCACCACCCCCTTCCTGAAGTCACCCTCCACAGACAGGGCAGTGGGGGGAGACAGCAGCTGGCGACATGAAACAGGCACTGCTTGCACACACACGCATGTGTTCTCCATAAACAGGCCAACATTCAAATGACCATCAACAGGAGGGCAAATGGTTCCGAGTCAGGTGGGAGGGGGAGTCGGAGAAGGTGCAAGCGTGGGCAAGGACTGCTCGATGGGAACACTCTGGGCACCTTCTGCGGGGAGGGCCTGATTTACTTCCAGGCTGTGTTATAGCTCCGTGGCTGACTAGTAACCTATCTGAGAGCTGTGTGTTTAGGAACTGTTTCCACTCAAGACTGTAATCCCAACTACATCAAAAGCTAATGATGTAATGTATGCTGATTAGCATAACATAATAATAAAAAATTTTAAAAAAAGACTGTAATCCCAGAGCAGATGTGCGTCCTTCCTAGGCAGCATCATCTACAGGGCGCCCATCAGAGTAGCACCAAGAGCATCCGAGGGGCTAAAGCAGCTCCATCAGCTCCGTGGCACCAACATGTCCCCAAGTGAAAAAAGGTTGTGAAGTACAGCTGAAACGATCAGTAGAAAACGGCTGCTTTGACTGCTAACATAGATGTAAGTACCAAGAGAGAATGCAACCAAACTTAACCTTCAGAGAATCACCAGCCACCAATGGCCATCTCTGAGCCCCCCTACACATCCACAGGGAGATGAGGCAGACAAGCAAAGGCAACACAAAAAACATTTGAGAGGAAGACCGTCGGGGATACAGAGAAGGACCACATTAACACCCCTCTTCAGGAGCCTGTCACTCTCCTGGCTCCGGCTAGGAAGCCCACTCGAACTACCTGCACACTGAGAGAACATGCTCACCCACCCGTGCTGAGCTGACCTGAAGCTCCTCACCCCCCCCATGGGAAAAGGTGCCCAAGAGACACTATGTGATGTGGAAACTCCTTGGCTGCCGGTTCTCCCGCGGAGGGGTGGAGGCAGCAGTCTTTCGCAATTGCTGACTATCCACTTTTGTCCCAGCCTTTCAGAGGCATGAATGGGCTTCCTCTTCCTTTATCCTATTTCCTGTCTGGCCAGAGTCACAGGTGACTGGAGCACAAAGCTGAGGCGGTGGCATGTGGGCTGACGCGCCGGGCTTCTCCTGCCTGGCCTGCAGGGCTGAAGGGAAACTGGAGCTCCTCAAAGCCCGTAAATGGTTCTGGATTACTTAGGGACTGTCCGTCCAGCTTAGGTTGAATCGTTCAGATGCTTTTTTCCCCACTCCCCTTGAGCTCAATGGAATGATTAAACAGTGCGCAGCACCAGCACAAAAGAAAGGATAAAATTCCAAAGATGGTCAACTTGGGTGATTTCATCTGCTTTAGTTAATGTTGGCTTTGGTATAAAATAATCTACAAAAGTAGTAAGACATTAATTTTTGAAATAAAGTCTGAGCTTACTTTGGCTATGCTGTTTGCCTTTGATTAAAGAAGTGAAAGCGAACAATCCTGGAATGGTAGGAGAAATGTCATTATTCAACAGTCACTGGCTGAACTACTAGTACTTGTTAGGTGTGAATAAGGTGTAGTCTCATCCATCAGGTAGTTTAAAATTAAGAGATATGGGTAGAAGTCTCATTAAAGGATTTAGGAGGTATTTTCTAAACAATTTGACTTCGTTGTTCCTTTTTTTTTATTTTACCTGACTTAGAAGTGAAATCTCTGGTTAGAAATTGGAAGTTTTCAAGCAAGAGGCTTACACCTTTCACTGAAGCAACTAACAATCTAATAAGTGGTTTACAGTTTCTAAGAGTCCTTTTTGCAGACATGTAAATGTCACAGAAGCAAAGAAAGGACCATGTTTCATGGAACTTGGTATTTGGATGCTTCAGTTAAGGTCCCAAATAAAGGACATTTCCTATATTTGAGTGGTAGCTAGACATGACCGGTTTTCTTCCATGTTCTGTGGGTCTAAGTCTCTGTATTTTATGACCAATCTCCACTTTCCATTGTACTTCAGTAGGAGGACATCCGGACGTCCACAACCATAGTCATGTGAATGGTGGTCCAAGCAGTCCCTCTTCTCAGCACATAGAATCCAGCAGGCATCTATGACTCCCCCTTTGTTCTCAGCTCCCTAAGCAAGTCTGTTACCCCCACTCTAAACTACTCTTGCTCAAAAAGAGGACTTTCCCTGCTCTCAGTCTAGGACCCTCAGTCTCACCAAGGCTCTGGTCGCCTATACTTGGAATACTGCCACAATTCTGTGAAGTAGTTGTTCCCCTCCCTAAGCCATCTTCAATATAGAAAGAACCTTCCAATTACCCTCCAAAAGCAGCATTTCCACCACATCACAAGGCTGCTCTGTGCCTAAGCCAGTCCCAGCTCTTCAGAGCAACTCTCATGATTCTGTATAACCCAACTGTTCCAAGCCTTCCAGCTTCTTCCTCCTGCTCCCCAAGTATGTGAGGTATGTGTGCCCTTCCAGTCAGGCTGGTCTCCTCGCGATTCTGCACACCCCACGCTTGCTTTTGGCCAAGGGTCTTTGTTTACACTCTTTCCCACTCTCTCCTCCCTTGTCAGCCCAACCAGATCCTGCCCAGCTTGGCCCTAGCCTCTCCTCAGCCTTCACCTCTGATGGCCTGCTGGTGCTGGAGGTGTGGCCATTGTCATTTACTATCCTTTTTATTATGGCTTGAGCTAAGTTAGCTTTTCTGCCCTAACAGGCTGTCCTGGTTCTCCGAGGTCACAATGAGCTCAGTCGGTACACACTCACTCACCCACCAAGTGATCCCTGGATCTCCCCTCTGATTCCTCTTTCCTCACATTACCACATTCATCTCAAAAAGATTTATTGAGTGCTTGCACATCAGTCTGAAACTCACTGTCCAATATACCTCATCATGCACCCCCCAGTGAATAAGTCTGCCCAGGTAATTACAACAGATGGGTGCAAGGGAACAAGAAAAGGGGTGGGGGTTTAAAGTCAACCTACTGAACCACAATCTCAGGAGCAGGACCCAGAATCTGCACTTGAGCAAAACTGGTCCTACTCTGAATTGTGTTGAGTAAACTGCACAGCACAAAGTGACATGGCTACAAATCTTACTCAATGTATACATTTATTAAATGTAGCTTTTTCCCTGACAGTGGAATTGTGTTTAGTAGTCTCTGTCTTCAGGTGGACAGTGAGTTACGGAAGGGTGAATGTGTGTAAGTATTGCTCATTCTATCCCATTATGCATTCGGTACGCAGGTATAATTCAAGGCATTTTTGGATTAGATTCTTTTTAAAACTGCCTGTATTGCACAACTTTCTAAATATACTAAAAAAATATTAAACTATACAATTTTAATTGTGTGGCATATGAATTACACCTCAATAAAGCAGCTAATATATACTAGCAGATTAGTCAAAATGTATTGCTCCTGAAAACCAGAATGAGATACAACCAGTTCTTGAGGTCTAATGCACTCACGGGATGGGCCACAATGCACTGCTTCGTGTGCACCAGGCCAGCAAACAAGCTGGAAGGCAGGAGGCAAGACGTGGAGCTGCTCAAGACAACCTTATCATCGATGATTTGATCTAACTGAGCAAAAATCTTCTTCTTCAGCTCCAGGTTTTCTGGAACACATTCCTGGAAAGGACATATTCAAATTACTATTCATGATACTGCACTCAGGCCCCAAGCAAAGCATAGGTCATGTTTGATTCATTCCCCAAATGAACCAATCAGAAAACTACTAGCAAAATTTAAGAACGAAACAAAAAGCTGCTGAAAAACGCAGCCAAATCTCCATAACTCTGGACACTGGGTGACACGCGTAGGGGAGCTGTATTTTCTAGTTTTGCATGGGTCTGAAAATTCCCCTAATGACGCAGTCTGCCAAGTCTATGGGGGTGGACCCGACAGCGCCTTTGGCAAATGCTACAAGCAGCAACAGTCGTCATCGCCACTTACTTTTCCTATCTGTCCTGACCATCAGATCAACTTATCTTCAAGGAAAAATCTTATCTTCACGAAATGAACAAACATGTTACATCCATAATTCCCAAAAGGCTCCTTGAACATCCATTTCTAAGGGGAAATCCTTTTGCAAAGGACCTTTGTTTCTAAAAATCTAAAATTACTTTCATAGGGGCATGGGAGAAAGACAGAAGAGCAAATCTGGATTAAGTGCTGCAGGTAACACCACTCTGAAAGTCTAATCATGCACAGAGCCGGGGCAGAGGGAGATGACATTCTCAAACACCCAAGTGCGGGCTGCCCACGGGTAAGGCCTGTTCCCGGGAATGTGATACACACAGTGGATACCACCCCGAGGCAGATGGAAGCAGATGCGGGAGAAGGATACTCAAGCTGCTCCAGCACTAGAAATACTAGAGGTGTCCTTACCCTCCTGCCACCAACTCCCCTGGGAAACCACACAGCAGTCATTCCTACCCAAGACGGGTCGCAGCTTACTTGCAGGCAAGAGGCCTGGAAGGGGAGGTATCATGAACTCCCAAGGTTCCCTGGTGAATTTATAAGATAATGGTTTCAGTATGGTCCAGTAATCATCAGCATCAGGATCAACTGGGTGCTTGTTAAAAATGCAAATTCTCAGGCTCTCATCCCAGACCTACTGAATCAGTCTCTGGGGGTGGGGTCCAGATATCTGCACATTCATCAAACATTCTAATGATTTTTGTTCCTACTGAAGTTTGAGACCCACTAGTCTGAGGTGTGGATCCAAAGTATGGGTCATCTATACTCTCAGTATGGCATGCTACCAAATATATCCTCAAGAATCTCCCCACTGTGATGTCAGAGCTCTGTCCTACCGTCCTCCCCCAGCTACTCAAGGACCAACCAAGGACATCCTGATTATATTAGCATTGTGGTAGCAGAAATGGTATAAACACCAGCAGATAACCAAAAGTGTGTAAAGGTGAACATGCAATGCTAAAGGACCACTAGTAATTATATGAGAATCACCCCTCAAAAATAAAAAAAATATGTTCAAGTTTGATTTAATAATACCTAATCGTTAATAATGAAATCTAGTATACTGAAATCAGCTGTGTAAATATTATGACAAATTCCATTTTTATATCATCTACAAGATTTAAAAAGTTTTACTCTGAGGGTAAGGAGTCAATATTGTATTTGTTTATACTTTTTTAAAAATATAATCAAACCATGTGAAATTTTATTAAGAACAAAAGGTCATATAAGCACCACATCTCAAACACAGGGGAAAAAAAAATGGAGTCATTTAAGAACTGTAAAGGCCATTGTATTAAATCTCCTTATCTAAAGGGGGGAAAAAAGCTACAGTAGCTGGCTGGTTGTACTGAGTAATTCCTGGATCAGTTAAGTCAGCAAGTTGGGTTAAGTTTAAATGGAGCCTTGTAGTAAAGCCAGAGACTAAGAATGATGCAGATACTGTTTAAGCTAATAAAAGAGTCCTCATGAATAGCCTTATTGTGAACCTGTCATGCAGATTCCCCCCTGAAATTCTATGCCTTTCTTCAGATCGTTTGATTATCAAAGAGGTAAGAAAACTTGAACCAGAGGAAACCCAAACCTGCTACAATTATGTAAGGATCTTTTAATGGCACATTGCTTGACATTTTGTTGTTGTTGTTGTTGTTGTTGATAGTAACAACTGTGTTCAATTTGGTGAGCAGGGTTATAATGCCTCTGTCCATGTTAAGCCTTGAGTTCATTTCCTTGCTATTCTTAGGGAGCCAATAGTCCTTGTCTGAGAAATGGAGTATGAAACGCTATTAATCAGGACCTTCAGCACTTGTGGTTGATTGCAAAGCTAAGAGAGGCTGGGAGGAAGGACAGAGAAAAGTACCAAACAATGAGACAGCTGAGAACCTAAATGCAAAGCAGCCTCACTCTCTCTCAACTATAGCAATGTGACCAGGTGAGAATCCAGCTGGTACCTTCTCAACGCAATGGTGTTTTTTGGGGGTCCTTTCTAGAGAAGACGTGAAGTGTTAGCTAATGTTCTATCACTACTGAAGGTAATGAGCTTGACTTGGCTTAATTAAACTCTGACAGCATTTTGAAAGCAATGATGATTATCTGTTTGTGTTCTGTTTGTTTTGAAATGGGAGGGAGACACAGCACATAATAAAATTCTCACACACAACCACTGTAGTCAGTATGCTCAGATTTCAACAAACAAAACTCTGGGGACACGTAAAGCACAATGTAAATTCCCAAGTACCACAACCCTACCTGGTACATCAGAAGGAGTTCACTCATCTCAGGCAGTATCACATAGTGCAAAGGCAAGGTAAAGTTTAAACACTCCTTTTCCCCTTGTCTTCTTGAAAGGAAGAAACTGAATGATTGTATTATAGGTATAACTTTTAATTCTAACTGATATTTTAAAAGGTAAATTATTTATAAACTTTGGTGTTTTGTTATTAGTCAAAACTACCTGTGACAGCACTTAACTCATTAGGAATGTTCTAGAAAAGCAGGATGGCCATGGCAAGTCAGTGTACTGGATAATTCCTAGGCAAAAGGAATAAGAACTCGCTTCTGAAGTTTACTCACTTGCTGTGCAACAATACACATTTTTCAAAACAAATATTTTCATGGGGAAAATGAAATTTCATTGATTTTTTTTTTAATCAATTCAGGCATTTTAGATAGGTGTCCTGTTGCTAGAAAATCTATATTTGTTAATGCAAAATATCTGGAAGCAATCTTCAATGTGCTTTCCAGAAAGAAAGTTAAACTAAATTAGAAGACCTCAGTACTTAAAGTATTTTACATGCAAGGAAGTTCTATCAGCCAACAGACATGGGGAAAGACATGGCAAGAAAAGAAAGGTGAGTTTAAACCCCACTGCAATCATGGCAGAAGGAAATTCATTCTCAAACTGAAAATGGAAGTGACCCACATTACAAAGTCTGTTAGCGCTAATTATATCTATTCAAGTTTTCATTATCACAGGCAATAAACTGTACTATGCCCTAACCAGAGGCTTTTTTTCCTTAACATCAAAATAAAAAGTTTTTAAAAGCATATTACAAATCCTAAACAGAGTTTACAATAATCTAGAACAAATTATACCCAACCGAGAGAGACTTTTCCAAAGTAAAACTCAGTGTAGACTGTATTTCGGAAAGTAACTTCCTGCGGATTAGGTGTTCCGGTTACCAGGGTTATTGTTGTCTGCGTTAAATAGCAGTCCTTTCTATGGGTGACCGCAGGGAATGGAGAAGAGGCAGAAGGGGCACCTGCATCAACTGCTGTCCTGAGGAGTCGTCTATTCCCACCTTTCCAATGCTATTTCTGGTACCTTTTATGAAATCATTTATTTAGAATTGGGTTAAAATACTTGCCATGAAAAGAAAATACAATTAAAAATATTTCATTTAAGCCTGCAAATAGCATATAGTTTTACTGCATTTCTAAATATTTCTCATGAGGAAGACTCGGGATTTTTAATACAAAATTTTTACTTAACAAAGTGCTGGGAATAGCATAAAACACAAAACTGGAGAAGAGTTAAGTAAGGCATAAGGAATGATTTTTTTTTTTAGATTTTATTTACTTGAGAGAGCAAGTGAGTGAGCACAAGCTGGGGGAGGGGCAGGAAGAGGGATAAGCCGACTCCCTGCTGAGCACAGAGCCCAAGGCCAGGCCCCCAAGATCACAACCTGAGTTGAAATCAGATGCCTAAGCGACTGAGCCACCCAGACGCCCCAAGGAATGAATTTTTAAGGAGAAAAATTAAAAATAAATAAATAAATTGATGTGAAGGATATCACATCAATCACTGAGACCATTTATTACCAGTGAGGACTATCCCAGGTGACAAATCTGAGAAGACTACATAAATTATTTTTTTTACATTACTTTGTTTTTGCCTCCATATTAAACACATGTATAATGCATTTCCATCAGGGAATCTCTCTTTATAATGCAGTAATTGTCAAAGCAGCAAAGAACAGGGAGAGGGTCTATTGTGAGATTTAGAAGGAAAAAAAACACAGAAATTAAAATATGCTTTTGTTAATAATAATTGGACTAGATATTTTTGCCCAAACACTTTGTTATTGCAATGAGTGAAACACCAAATTGCATTCAACATATTTTGTTGGATGACAACCACTGTTTCATGAAAATGCTCTCATTTTGAAAACAAGTTTTGTAATATCATAAAACTAGTTTCACTGCAACCATGTATATGTTTGACTATAAAATAATTTTATAGTACTTTCTACAGGAATAGTATTATCAAGGCAATAGCTATCTTTTTTTTTTAAGATTTTATTTATTTGAGAGAGAGAGAATGAGAGAGAGAGAGCACATCAGAGGGGGGAGGGTCAGAGGGAGAAGCTGCGGGACTCGATCCAGGGATTCCAGGATCATGACCTGAGCTGACGGCAGTCACTTAACCAACTGAGCCACCCAGGCACCCAAGGCAATAGCTATCTATATCTTGACTCCATATGTCCAAAGGAGAAGCCAAAAAGTCAAAATTTATAGGTACACCTAAAACAGTTCTTATTTATTCTTCAAATTTCTTTAATAAAAAAAGTCTAAAATATCAAAAGGTCAGTCATCCAATTTAAGAAGTCAGAAATAGAAAATAATAAATCCAAAGAAAAATAAAGACTACA